ATTGATGATAGTGTTAGTGACGTAGTCGAGAAATGTCAATTTTATAATATTGTCAGCAACCTGAACTATTGATTAACCGATAAATGTCTATTTGTCGAATTTCCTGAAAAGATACTCAGGGCTAATTCTGAAGTGATAAACAAGAGGGAATGCAGCTAGTCAACATTACATACCGCCAACTAGTAGGCTTCTATTATCGGCCCCATAGTGCGGAGAACGATGTCTTTTTTTTTTATATATGTGGTAGAGGGACGTGAACCACGGATTCCTAGCTAGTCCGGCGCGTTAACTGTTGGACCACGCTCGGCACTGGATAAGTGTCAGTTTTGTTTAGGGACACTCGTGTCAAATCGAGTTGCTGTTAATGACCTAGAGCTTTGCTAATGCTTTTTTGAGTAACGACAGTATTGTGGACGCATTTTTAGGCTGCAGAAATCAATTGAAATATAATTGACATTTATGATATTTTACATATGAAATTTCAAAATCATTATCATAAAGCAATGATTATCACCCTCTTCATTTATCGTTATTAAATTAGATATCTAATGATCAGTGTTCCTGAATGTACATTTAGTAAATTTAGTTTTACTATTTTCAGTTGATGACATTTCACATCAATGTGTGGGGTTTGATCATCGTGAGGACACCCTGACATTGACGTTGCATTCTCAAAATCTTTGATAAGGTTATGTATTTTATTCTGACAACTTCTCTAAATAAGCTTCTTTTCAGGGCACCTTTAGCACCTGGAGTCACTTGAAGAGATGTGATGAGTCTTTCAAGAACATTACAAACACGTTCGATGGAAATGAGGTCGGATGAGCATGCGGGTCACTTCTATACCACCACCCCTCTTTCTCAAGAAATACCTTGGACCAGTTTGGCACGATAGGGGCTAACGTTATAATCCAATAGGCTGAAGTCATGGAGTTATACCAGCATATGGCAGTACAAATAGTCCATTATGTGCTTGTTATAGTGTGTACGTGTGTGTGTGTGTGTGTGACATTAATGATGTTAGTCTGTAAGATATAGAGCCTTTTAGAAGTCGGCAAGTCAACCAATGCTACATCTATTTAACCATACTGCCATATCCATTACGAGGGGTTGAACCAGTTCTCTCTAAATGAGTATACGACTGTTATTTGGCTAAAATATAGGTCGGCAAGTCATCAATTCTACACCTATTTAACCATACTGCCATATCCATTACGAGGGGTTGAACCAGTTCTCTCTAAATGAGTATACGACTGTTATTTGGCTAAAATATAGGTCGGCAAGTCATCAATTCTACACCTATTTAACCATACTGCCATATCCATTAGGAGGGGTTGAACCAGTTCTCTCTAAATGAGTATACGACTGTTATTTGGCTAAAATATAGGTCGGCAAGTTCAACCAATGCTACACCTATTTAACCCCACTGCCATATCCATTAGGAGGGGTTGAACCAGTTCTCTCTCTAAATGAGTATACGTCTGTTATTTGGCTAAAATATAGGTCGGCAAGTCAACCAATGCTACACATATTTAACCATACTGCCATATCCATTACGAGGGGTTGAACCAGTTCTCTCTAAATGAGTATATGACTGTTATTTGGCTAAAATATTGGTCGGCAAGTCAACCAATGCTACACCTATTTAACACCACTGCCATATCCATTAGGAGGGGTTGAACCAGTTCTCTCTAAATGAGTATACGACTGTTATTTGGCTAAAATATAGGTCGGCAAGTCAACCAATGCTACACCTATTTAACCCCACTGCCATATCCATTACGAGGGATTGAACCAGTTCTCTCTAAATGAGTATACGACTGTTATTTGGCTAAAAGACGAAGTGCGACTCTTCTGCACATGTCGTTCATTCACTCAACTTGTTCTTGGTAATATTGCAGGGGAGCTGTTTTACACATTGCTGTGAGCATAATACACTTCACTGGCATATGGGCTAGACATGTGAAGTTTGATCCCCACAGTCTGAACACTGACATGGTATCTTGTTGTGATTGCGGGCTTCTACCTTAGTGCCAGAACATATATATCTCAATTTTAAATAGCTGGAACTGACAGATAGCAGTCATCTCCTTGTGTCATGGAAGATATCTCAGCTCAAGGTGGAAATACTATTTATTCGCAACAGCCTGATGTAACTAGCCAGTTTACATTCATCTGATGGTTCTCCATGTTAGCGAAACATTCAAATGTCTTCTTTGAGGTGAAGTAGGGGTTCGTCAACATTATGGACTCTGTGATATACTTCAAAGTAACAACTAAGACTGCTAATACACCACACATATCTAGAATGATTGACCATTAGGTCGAATTTGAGTTTCAGATCGCATAACTGATCAACATCATATATAATATTGAACTGACTAGGTGGTTCCCACTATTTTAAACTTATGTTGTTGTTGTTTCATTTTACAATAACTACAATAATACGCTTTCTAGTTATCTTTTTAATTGTTCTTGCAAAGTAGTTGATGTACAATGAAATTAAATTGTTAGTGACCTCTAGTGTTGATTCTTTTGTCAGTGACAATGGTTTGGCAGCATGCACGTTCTCAAATACACGTGCAGAGAAAATATTGTTGTTGAATTAGGGTTATATTAATAATTAATCACTAAGTGGCAGTTTTTATGATATGCATTGATCAGCTTAAGGTATTTGAACATTATCTACTCTGATAGCATGACTCAATCAGCTAGATTCTTCTTCATCGGGATTTAGTCCATGTTTTGGACCAAGGAGGGTCAGGTTCAACGTAAGCCTCTTCCTCTTTCTCTGAAATTGTTATTTTGTTTGCATTGTTACTGAATCCTAGGTATTAACTCTTGTTACATTGTTGTTGCATTACTCACAGTATGTTAAATTTTGTTCATTGTTCGCATTTTTAATTAACATACCCTTTTCGTGCCACGTCCAATTCATGGGGTAATATTAACTTGTATAATTACTAGCTTCACTTTTGTATGATCGCCCTGTTAGTCCGTGTTCACAATAGAGATACAATTTTATTTCGTTTAGTAGTGATCAAAATTCTTAGGTAGATTCATATACTGTGGTTTTTAGTTTGGTTTGAATTTCGCGCAAAACTACATGAGGGCTAACCGCACTAGCCGTCCCTAATTTAGCAATGATAGACTACACAGAAGGCAGCTAGTCAACACCACCCACCGCCAAATCTTGGGCTAATCTTTTATCAACGAATAGTGGGATTGATCGTCACATTATAACACCCCCACGGCGGAAAGAGCGAGCATGTTCGGTGACGGGGATTCGAACTCGCGACTCTCAGGTTGCAATTCTAGCGCCGTAACCACCGGGCCATACCAGATTTCTATGTATAGTGAGATTCCAAAAAGTTTTTCATGAGACTGCTTGGTTGAACAGAGATTAGGTGCTGATGATATGGTGAAATGTGCATTGGTTAGTCACACGTTATCTAATGTGACTTAACCATTCAGTGATCCCAGTAATCTCATATACATCTTTTTAAAACCACCAGGTCTGACAAACGTTCCCTCGTAGTCGTAGCGTGGCATATATTGGTTTATGATTTGTTAAATATATGGACAATCATCTCGGTAGCACGCGAAGTAATTTTGATGCAAACAGTGTTGTCAGGTCTGAACAGACACAATCAATGAGATCATCAAAGAGTACTTTTCATGAATGTGAAGACTTTGATCTGGAATATGGAAACTGAACAATATCCCCAGGTTTGTTTCGTAGTGTTTTAGTTAGTATAAGACGAATCAGCTAGTAGCAAAGCCAGATTTTTTACTTTTGTCAGCAAACTCATATTTTGCTACAGCAGAATTATTTTCTCTGCCACAAAGAACGTACAATCCATGCTTTAATTTTTATTATAAAGTAACAATGTTTTGGGATGGCCTGCCCAGATTCCAAATTTTAACGCCACAGAATAACTTTAGAACAACTTAAAAGGGGTATATTGAGACGTTTAAACATATGCTTCCACATGTCTTCAACGAGTTGTTTCTGGAACGCCAATACATAAAACTTGACCATATCAGTACTGCGATTCTAGGACTCACTAAATGATTGCGTATTCGAATACTTTTTGCAAGATAATGTACTCACACAGCAAAAATACTGTTGTTTAATGGTTTAGATTCCTTGGTTGTATTCAAGGTTTAGAACATTTTTACAGTATTTTAGATGATTACTTAAATATACCAAACGTTTTTTAGTAATTTAGTTCCAATGATTGTTTTAGACTGTAAAAGATATGTTCGATATGTTATTGTTGATTAATTAAGCTGTTTAAAGCTAGTCTAAACATTGAATAATAACTAAGCCGTACTGATATTTTTTCAGTGAAATGAGCTAATATATAGTGACTCAGCACTACTGATTATTTGTCAGAAAATAAAACTGTGTTTAATATCTTAGTACTACTGGTTATTTCTCAGACAATAAAATTGATATTTAGTGACTGAGTACTACTGATTATTTGTCAGATAATAAAAATAATGTTTAATGACTTAGCTTTGCTGGTTATTTGTCAGACAGTAAAATTGTGTTTAATGAAAAAAGCACTATTCTTCATTTGTTAGGCAATAAAACTAATGTTTAGTGACTTAGTACTATTGATTAGTCAGACAATAAAACTACTATTTAGGGACAAAGCACTACTGATATTTTTCATGTTATAAACGTATACTTTAAATCTTAGCTGAACATACGATTACCTAAACAGTTAAAGTGATACTTATTAAGTTTAAACCTATTGATCATTTCACAAACTATTTTCATTGTTAGACAAAGCTTAGAAAACCGCAACTTTTCTATCTTCTCTGTTAACTGTAACAGACACTCTTGGTTACATGTCTGTGAACGTGACGTATATTGGTTGCCTTTGACGTCGTCACGACACCTTGCAACACCACGTGACCTGTTGCTGGCTTCCACAGTTACTTACTCCAGCATTCACTTGTTCATTCGGCGATATGGGTGCTATGAGAACGGCCGGAACCAGACCTGTTGCTAGCTAGTATAAAAGCCAAGAAAAAGAAAGACTATACTATTTTCTTAATACATCTTGAGAAAGAAGAATGGTTATAATTACAGTTGAAAAGATTTGCTGTATGGTTAGTTCTCAAATATACCTTTACGACGTTGTCTACAAAACTACCTTATGTTGCAGCTAACAGCTGAACCCGGTAAGTTAATTATCAAACCAAACATTTTAGCTCTTTTGGAGAACCTCATTATATTTTGGTACACGTTAATACATTTGTATAATTATGTGATAATAATAGAAGAAGTGCATAATATAATCATGTAATCTAGACATCGGAACGAGCAACATTTGCAAAACTGGCTCACTTGCAAAGCAAGCTACACTCACACTCACAGATATATGAGTGGAACCGAAATTAAATGATGCATTTTACAAATGCCTCAATGCTGCATTATATGTGCAGTGACAAACTAAGAGGCCGATAAGATTTGCTAAAATGACATTTCCAAAAACGCTTTTAAATTTCATAAAGTTTAAGAGTTTGATAAGTTCTCAACTGACGATGCAGTTATATCACAACTGTAATGTTACTTAGCGACCCGTCGTAATGCCTATTGATTCTTGTAGGGTTTCATACATGAATACACTTCACACTCTTTAAAAGAGGATCAAAAGCTGAGCAACTAAACACAATTAGCTGACAGGTACAAATTATGTCTGGAAAGTTATCTGACATGATGTACTGGTAGGCGTAACTAAAGTAGCGATATTAATATTTCAATCATCTTAAAAGAGTCTAGTACACTATAATAGTCTCTACTACGCTCCTGTAAGTACTTACTAGATAAGTTACATATAGTGCTTAGTGTACAGTTACTAATCACGCATATTTCGCACCAATTTGCTCTTACAGTGAAGCATTAACTTTCGTCCAATTTTAAGTTATATCATTTATTGAAGTATGATACGGTTTTCGTTTTAATTAACAAGATAACACTAAGTCTTCACTTAACAGCCTTGTTCAGAGATAGTTATGATGCATTAGAATGTTAAATATATGTATATATATACGTTGGAGAAAGCTTTAATGTGCATGATAGGTAGAAATGAATAATCGGTTTCAATTTGAAAGACTGAAAACACTGCAATATGGTTGAAAAGAGAAGAAAACCTACTACTTTACAATTTTTTTATCATTAGAGCTTTAGTTGGGGTCAAAGATAATCGGGTTGGTGCACAAGGTACTCACAAACTGATCGAAATAAGCTTAACGATAAACTAATATGATAAATGTTGTAAGAAAACCTTTACTTAATATATTGTTTTTATAAAGTAGTTGTATTGACATATAATTTATAATTGTATTTCAGCATCACTTTAAAGACTACGTGTCTGAAGATATAAATTTGGTTGAATTTGGGGTATGAGAGATAAAACTGTGATCAGGCGTTTTATCTTTACGAATATTATAAAGTGATAACGAATTCGGAGTCAAAAGTGCCGAATTTTCTTTTCTTCAAAAGTCGAAATCAGTTACCTCATTGTCCAAAGTAGTAGTTTAGGAGTAGGGGAGGACAGATGCTCACTGAAACCTGTGCACATTTTGTGCAAAAATGAAAAATAATAATAAAGAAAACAGAGAAATAAGATTTGGTACTGCTAAAAGATAATAATAACTCAATCAAGTTTTTCTCTCAACGCTCAGTATTTATTGAACAATCTTTCAACTTCTCAAGTTGTTCATAATATTAAATTCTAAGCGGCGAAGCCGATAAGTATAAAAAAGACTGAGGTACCGGAGTTAAAATATAATGTAGTGAAAGCACGCGAATAACGTGTTTTACAACAGTATTGGCGTCCTTTTCACAATAGCGAAATACAATAAAAAATGAGAAACATTGTTAGAACATTTTCCTTAAAATATTGCAAAGACAAAGCGTAGTTCGCGAGATAACTAACTACTGATATAGAATGGATTAAGGTTAATGGAAATAGAATATGTAATAATAGGTATGCTAATGATATAGCATTTACTGGCGAGTCTTAGTTAGAGAAACAACGGTTATTGTAAGCCATCGAGGCCATAACGTATTGGTTTGACGCGTTGCTGAACAAGTCAATGATAACAGTTTCCAATGTTTAATGTCTCTACAACGCATTATTATAGCTTTGTAGATCAATACCCAACAGGACCATAACGTATTGATATAGCCCGTTGTCAAAATAGTCAGTGAGATTGTCGTGATTCTTTCTAGACCTCATCGTTTTAACATAATATGCTTAAAAATATAGAAGCATAGCAAGAAGTACGACAGTCTTATTGGCTATTTCAGCAACGTGTTGAGTCAGTATGGTATGACTGTTGGGTACAGTTTACAGAGCCATAACGAGTAGACCTATGTTCGGCAATGTGTTAACCAGTACGTTGTGTCCACAATGGCTTGCTATAAACGGTTATTTGACTGGCTTGTGGACTAAGAATAAATGTCAACAAAACTAGGACAATGGTAATCTCACGGTCTGTGGAAGCTCTAGGAATATGCATGAAACTAAAATATAAAGATGTGGAAAAAATAGAAGGGTTTACTTATTTAGGGACAAATATTAGTAATGATGACAAGTGTGGACAAGAAATAAAGCGAAGAACAGGAACGGCAACCTAATTCTCAAAGAATTGCCAATGAAAGATATTTACTATAATGTAAGAAGAGGCTACTAAAGTGTTACTTATGGTAATTCCCACTCTTTGTAAAGTGTGGAAACGTGGGACATGTGACACAAAACGACAGATAGAAGCATTTGAAATGTGATGTTGTAGACGAAGGACGAATATAAGCTACGTAGAACGAAAACCTAAAAACGGAAGCACTGGAACAACTGCTGGACCAGTGTGAAAACGGAAAATGCGCTACTTTGAGCATATGATTAGATCTGAGGGAAGGAAGAAGAAGAGCGAGAGGCAGGCAGAGATTCACTTGGCTTGTTGACATTAAAACTGGATCGGAACTGAGAATCTTCGTTAAAAAAAGTTGGTGCACGCAGCAAAGAATACAGAAGAATGGAGAACAATAGTCATCGACTCTGAGAATTAAGGAGGACACCAGGACTGATTGAAAGAGATAAGACGATTTCGAACAGAAAAGCTGAAAGCTTGCTCTGAAATATTGAACGTTAAGATAAAACCTAACTCACGTATTCTTTTTTAGTGAATAATAAACTCATGTTATGAATTTGAAATATAATATTTACATTTTGTACTATGATTTAGAAATGGCCGCGATGGCGCTGCGAACTAAGATAAATGTAGTGTTCGCCCCCATGTGGCCAATCCTCTTTGGTTTTGTATGTCGAAACCGACAAAGTGAGTACATGTAAGAAGAGCTACCATCGTTCCAGTGAGTGAGAGAATTCGCGTAATATTATTCGATATAAGTTTTAATTAATGTTATTAACAGAATTTGGCAAACATGCGAGTGTCATTAATCATGTACAATCTACGTCAAGAATAGATGCTTTCTAACCCATAAAGTAAGCCTAACAATAACAACTTCTCTATCAGGAGCTACTACCACATTGTATTTGATGGTCTTAAAATATTTTACAAAGTTTTCCTTTGATTTCTTACAGAAACATAAAGAATCCTAAGGAGATACTCGTGTTCTCAACATCCTGAGATAACTGATTCTTACTCATTATGTTGCCTAGTGTTTAATAACATTTCTACTGGACTGAGCGTGGCCTAGTGATTAGCGTTTCCGAACTGTGAATCCAAGAGTTCATAATTCGTGTCCAGTTGCTCTACGCACTTTGGAGCTATGGGTGCCTTTCCTCTAGCTTATGAATACAAATTTGGGTACAGCCCCTATGTAACTTTGGGTAAAAATCATAAGCAAACAAACAGATATTTATATCGTATATAGTTCCTTTAATGGGCAGTTCCTTACATATCTGAAGGCTTATATAGCTCAAAAACGGAGTTTCGATACTTGTGATAGGCACAGCACAGATAATCCATTGAGCTTAACAACAAACATGCCACCTGTTTCTTTGTTAACTATATACAGTGCAGCTTTGTCCTGCTATGTCTGTTGATCAGTCAGGTCGCTGGGTGTGATTAAATGTCACTGTGATTGTTTTAACTTTGAATAAATAGAGTTGTTTAAACATTTGTTTAACAGTACGTAAAAGCTTGGAATGGTCTATTCCTTCATTGGGGTGTGTGTCTGTGAGACAGACTAGTTTCGGAGAATTCCACTCATGATCAGTGACCCTGGACACAATTTTGTACTTTTCTGACTTCTATCTAAAAACTTATATTTCAAACATTCAGGTCCCACAAGTTGTAGGAATAATCTAAAATATAAAGAAGTACATGACATTATTTAGTCTTCTGTCTCGTTTTTATGTATTTAGTTTCTTAATTATCTATTTTAGAAATAAATCTTTATTATTCCTGTTCTTTTTATTCTTGTTTCTTTAATTGTTCTATCATCTGATTCTTTCCCTTTCCCACTTTTCCCGCCAGGAAATTTCTCTTATCCTTTATGTCACTGTGATTAAATACACTATTATCATTTACTCATCCAGATGTTGGATTCTTATGAATCAGGAAATCATCTGCATATCTCAATATAGCACCACACTTTGTTTCCCAACCAAGAAATTATCTATATGTACACATAATACTACATTCAGTTCTTCAACAATGAGAAAATTATCTGTTTATTTCTGTCTAATACCATACTTGGTTCCTCACCAATCAGGAAATTATCTGTATAGGTCTATATGGTACCACACTTATTTCCTTACAAACCAGAAAATTCCCTGTTTTTCTCTACATAATATCACATTTGGTTTCTCATCAACCAGATAATTATCTGTATATTTTTGTATAATACCATACTTGGTTCCTCACCAATCAGGAAATTATCTTTGTAATATGGTACCACACTTATTTCCTCACAAATCAGGAAATTTCCTGTTTATCTCTACAGTGCTCTTACCGAATTTTTTTGTTTTCAGATTATCACGCTAAAGCCTTATATATGTTTCATATTTACTTTACGCTAATATATATGTTGCAGTATACAATTTCCCATGCTCCTGAAAGTTACTCCTGAATTGTAATGAGTATTAATATTACTATAGTGTTAGCAAACACAATCTACCATATTTTTGAACTACAGAAGTCATCGTTTA